CCCCCCCCCCCCACGAAGTTATGTCATTCCACAAGCTGAATCAAGATTGTGCATTAGGCCTATAGGAAAAAAAATCTTCAATCATTCATTATATGCCAATAAACTCTCTTTTACAGCCCCTCATTCAAAGTAAATTTGGCAGTCCATTTTCTCAAGGTGTTTTCTTGGAAAAGAATGTGTGTGAGGCTCACAATCTCGTCTAAAGAACAGGGTATATAAAAACACGTTTGCTTCCCACAAGTACATACAAACATAAAAAAAGAAAAAAAAAGCTTCACCAATTTGCACCGCTTTTCTATTTTTAAACAATTTTTTTTCTAATACCACCCAATAAATCTACAACAAATTTGCCCGGTATACTTACCATTCTCGCTCGGTACTAGCGTCTCCATCTCCTGACTGGGGAGGTTAAGGCGCATCAATCCTTGGTATGCGTCCACAAAGTACAAGTGCCCGTCCGGCCCGATCTTCATTCCTTTGGGTCGACCACACATGGGCTCGTACGCCAGTGTCCCTGCACAATAATGGTGAAAGAATTATGAAATAATTGTTAAATAATGGTTAGAGAATACATGTTTTCACCTGCAGGACACGCTTGAAGTCCCAGATCTTACGGGAAAATCGTCCCTGTTACGGTTTGATGAGTTTTTTTCGGTAATCTCTGAAACGCAGGGTGACATCGCAGGGTCAAATTGAAGGCCTCACGATTATTGCCGTCTGCGATTTTGAGCCTCAGATTAGTGAGCACGAATACCCGAATTCACGGCTCGGATCAAGATTTCATGGCACGGACTTATAAAGACTAGCCACCAGCAAGAAATTGGCAAAGTTCAAAATTGTCGGTAAAAGTCCCATTAAAAACCATGCAGGTTACATTGTACAATGTTTTAGTATTGTTAATGTTCTGAAAGTGACATTGGAAAGCAAGTAGAAAAAGGGCCCGCCGCCTGATGTGTTTTAAACATTAGTTGAAATCTAAGGCGCCATTCAGAACAGCAGACTAACTAGTCCGACGGCCAAATAGGGCCGACCCCCTTGAATACTTCCCCAGGGGATATCTATTCAAGCTTTGTAGTGGGTCGCCATACTCTGAATGGGTCCCCTATTCTGAATGGGGTCTTATAAATGTGCACTCCCAAGCAGAATCGTGAGAGACCTCAAACGAGAATTTACTTACCACATTCCGTCAAATTCTGTCCAGTTCTTCCCAATTCCTCCAAGTGATTGCCGTGAAATCGGACTAATCTACCGTCATTCAGACCTGTGTATATATAACCTAGAGAAAGGAGAAAATATATTAGTTGAATCGAAAATAATTTTAGATTTTCATATTGTATATAAAGTGTTGTATGCCTATCCATTTATTTAATTGCAATTTGTGCTGTTTGTTTTTAAGGGCGTTTCGGCAAAAGCCAGTATTAAAAAAACTAAACCATTAGCTGCTGAAAGAAAACAGCACAACTGTTTAAATCGTCTCTGAATAAACTTTTTCTGTTCATCGTACTTCAACTTTGTTCTTTGCTATTCCTACACGCCCTCTCAATGTATAATTTTCTTTCTGTTCACGTGATATTTTACCAACATTCAGAACAGCGGATTAACAGATCCCCGGATCAAATATGGCGACCCACTAAAAAGCTTGCCGCTTAATTCCCGATTAGACACTAAAAAGATTCCCCGCGAGGATTACGCAACAAGCGTACAAGTGGGTCGGTCATAGGTTATCCGCGGATATGGTAGTCCGCTGTTCTGCATGCTCTCTATCACCCCATTTCCATAGATTAGATCGACCTACTTTAGATCGACCTAACTCCCTGGGGGTTCACGCTAAATAGCTGTCAGCCGGGCGGACACGAAAGTTAATTATCCCCTTACAGCTTGTAGTAGGCGGGACGGACATTTAAGTCGGATTATCTGAAAGTAATCTAGTGAGACTCCCCGCGGGGATAGATCGATCTAAAATCTATGGGAATAGAGCCTATGATGTAATCCGACCGGTTTAACCTGCATTCCTCTCCGTTTCTTACCGTTTTTATCCACCGTGAAGGACTCGGGTCCGGCTAATCGACCCTCGAACCACCTCTCCGCCTTCTGTAACTTGTAGTTCACTGCTAGCGCGCCTTCCAGTCGGGGAGCGGGGGGATAGCTGATTAAAATAAAAATGTGGCACATGTATACACTGTTTGCTGCAACGATATTATTTTATTCACCGTCATCTTTTGTGTTACATAATCAAAGAAATATATGTTGTGTGAGTACTTTTTCAATATTTTTGTCTAAGTTTCCTACGTCAAGCATGCCCAACTGTTTACGCCCAGGACTCATTAGTTTTCTTTGAAAGTGTACAAGTATAGAAACAGTACTGTGAGTCACCGTCAGTGTCCCGAAACTGAGCATTGTAGTAAGAAGAAAAGATATTTAGAAATACAAAGCCGTGCCACCGGTAGTGATGTTAAACTCAAGGTTCACAGGGTCAGGCGTATACTCACGTGAAGGGTTCTGGCTGTATTGGCGACGGGTAAAGATACAGGGCCACGCACGCTAACACTGCCACCGTCACTGCGATAACGTAGTGTTTCTTACTCTCCCTAACAAAATGATAATATATAAGAAATAATCAAGTATTATGTATTTACATGTATTTAAAATATGATCAAAAGGTATATCCGTTGCCCTGGGATAAGTACGACATGAAGTGATTTGTGTATTTATTTGTGTTTAAAATCCAGTTTGTCACTTAAAGAGTTAATAATTGAGAACCCGAGAGTTCAAACTCTTCAACTCAGACGTGTAGAAATGACGTTTTGTAATTTTATTTCCGTGTTTCCCCATTTATTTTCTGCGTCATTTTGAAAAAAATTTATAATAAAAAATTGCAAGTATCATCTATATCTAACTTGACACATACATCTATATACACATCTATAACATGGAACCCATCGAACCTGCGTGACGCATGCACAGGCGTATCCCACCTGATTTTTTTGTGTTCACATTATAAAAGCGGTCTGGAAATAAAGTCGGCGGATACCTAACGGAACATATGGCCAGAAAAACCACCTTTCGTTATTGGCTTTTGAGATCAAAATGTAGCTAACATCACTTGGCGAGCAGCTACCTTTTGAAAAAAGTTTTGTTTGTAAACACACTACTACATACTACTAGCCAATGCGGCCTTGGGTTGCACCTAGAGCACACAGCTTTGCTTTCAGACAACAGTGTCCGCTCTGTATCTAGTATTTCGTTTTTAGGCAACAGTATCCATGTGTTTATAGTGATGCGTTTTCAGGCATTGTTCATCTTACACTATAGTGATTCGTTTTCAGACAATTTTGCACATCCGAACGTGGCAATTTCTCTTTCATTTAAACAGGTGCACTGACATTGTCCCTGGTCAGTCTGACCAGGCTGGTCTGACCGTAGACTTAAAGGTAGACGTGACCTGTATTGTCACATTTGTNACCAGCTAGTCTACATTGTACATACCGTACTTACATATTTCTTACTGGATCATGTCCTAGTCGCTCTTCCCGGTGTCCTGTGCAAGAGAGTCTCCTAGCATACAGGGTTGTCAACTTTACTCTCTGCCCGCAGGGTCGCCTAGTAGTCTTTTAAAAATTATTGTATCCTTCAATTTCGTGTACTTTTAGAGGCTACTTTGATATCAGGGGGTAGGTCCAGTTACCGTTGATTTGGACAGGTAAACCCCGTCCTAGATTTTGACCCAAGTACGTCACACTAACCCTAACCCGTACGGATTTAATAAAGGATTAACTCTGGTGCACAAACCCTCAGTTTCTAATCAACGGCTACTTTGGCATCAGCTGTTCCTAATATTGTTGTCAAAATGGTAGTTGATAGGTCCCACTGATTTCTGTAGAGGCTGAGGTGACAAGGCGAGCTAACGAGACCCCTCGAGTTGGATACTTTGTGTAGTCCGCTGATATATAACGTATGAATATCTCAGCACAGAAACTACCTGCAGACAGTTTCTGAGTCTTCTTTTCTTGTTGTCAACCTCTAAGTAGTTTCTTGAACACTCTGGATGAAATTCCTATTGTCAACTATAAAAAGACTTCCTCTACGGCGTGAACTTGGACGTATTGCTCCACCGCTATTGAAAGTATAGATTTTAAAGTCCGCCAAGCCCGGGTGAGCCTTGGGTCGTGGGTCATCTAAGGACAACGTTCGTTTGTTCTGCGTCCGGTGAAACAGTTTAAGAATGCCAGCTCAGGTTAAATATGTTATCAGAATACATGCAAGTTCACCCTACCTGGGTGTATTGCTTTCAGTCCCAATGTGAAAACGTGTTGGCATTACAGAGATGCTAGTGGGCCGGGCCTACGCGTGAGTTTCGGAACAATTGCTCAAACGCTCCCACTGTCTTTTTGAAATGCGTGCGGGTTAAAATGCGTGCTGCATAACAGCCTTACGAAATGAGAAACTTGCGTAACGCAATCCTTGTGTGACACGGTTTCCTCCATTTCGTGATGGAAACGATTGTAGCCACGCCAGCTTTCGGATTTCATGAGGAGTCCTTTTAAGTTTCGTCAGTCTTGTTATGCCGATTATAACAACATTTAGTACTAATAAAGCTTTTTTTTTTCATTTATATCAGATGACTGGTGATTGGTTTTAGGTAGATTATGTCCACGTGTACTAGCTCGTTTTTATTAGTTTTTTCAGAGCTAATTCATCTTTCATAAAGTTATTTCACATTTCCTATAAAACCATTGGCTGAATAAATTCTGTTATCTCTGAACAGGGAATTAATAAAATCCTGTTATAGGTTAAGATTAAGATAGAAAAGGGTTTGAATTATCATAGATTTAATTGCAATCCAACCAGGTAGATAACAATGCAGTACTCAAAATGTTCAGCATACAGCTGTTAATCGTTTCATAAACGCAAAAAATCACCCGACAAAAAGGAATAACATACACGATATAGGACAACACAGCGCGAACGCCATGAACACGCGTTAACGTGCAGACCTAATCTATGAGTGCGTTCAGAACAGCGCACTAACAGATCCGCGGATCAAATATGGCCGATTCACTTGAATGCTTGTTGCGTAATCCCTGCGGGAATTCTATTCGGTGTCAAATCAGGAATTAAGTGGCAAGCTTTTTAGTGGGTTGCCATATTTGATCCGGGGATCTGTTAGTCCGCTGTTTTGAATGCACTCTATGTGGAAGTGCTATATAGATACTCTGCCAAGCTAACATCTTGTCACGGGATGCCATACGTTTGATTGATATATAATGTACAGAAGATGCGTATCTTAAAATTTGATAAACTGATAAACATACCTCGTCCCTCATAACGTGACATATCAGTACAACACACGCATGCATCACATAAAGCCGGAGTCGACTTAATATTTAAGGCATCCTAATTATTAAAGACCGCCCGGCTTAATTAGTGAAAAATGCTAATTAATTGGTATCGTTCGGCTTAATTGGCGAAGCATGCTTATTAATTGTGACGAGAAGTGCAAAGGATGGTTATCACTATTGCTACATAACAATATATTGAATGAAAAAGAAATTAAAAGGAAGTACTTTCAGAAGATCATTTTGATTAAATCGAGAATCGCACCAACTCGCGTTATGGGTTGATTGAGCAGTGATTTAAGGGTTTGGGAAACAAAGGGGTATGCCGAACCAGGAATTCGTAGAGCTATACGCAAATGTCGCGGATTCAACAAGACGGGGGTGGAGGTGGGGAGGGGTGTTCTGAAACCGGGTCGAGTATCGATGTATTTGAATCCACCACACAACTTCATTAACTCACAAGTTAAAATTGCTCCATGTATATTCCCAGTCCCTTCGTACTTCAAGTTGAGTGTTATACCGCAGCACCCGGAGTGTCATAGCTAAGTGGAAACTCGCGTGTCACTCTGTTCTCAGAGGCACGTTGTTAAGGATACTGTGAGCGTTTGCCAGTAACTTTATTTACTGCCTTACCTACATATGCATTCTATTGGATAACAGATAAATCTCCAGTGTTTAGTGACTAATTAATTAAAATTTACACATGTTATCTTCATAATTGCGACTTTGTGGTAAAGTGAAATATCGGGTTTCTCAAATTTCTCCTGTTACTGAGCACCCACGAAGACCGTTTTAACGCCAATGACAGCATTTAGTAATCCAAAACCCTATGCGATATTTTTTAAAAACCTTAGTTCAGATTTCATCGTTGATAAAGCAAAATAATCTTTGTTTAATGAAAATCTGTTAATAGGGGCTCATAACTCCATAACAAAAACATTTCAACCAAAATGACGAAGCCCATGCATTTGTGGTCAACTCTGCCAATTTTCGTTATAAAATCTTGTTCAGGGATGAAGTTACTCCCTGTACTGTTTGCTCTCTGTACACCTCAAAATAGAAAGACTTTATATTGACGATAAAAGACTTGAGTGGCCTATGCTTATGCAAACCCACGAGAAATATAAACGTCGATTCCTGATACTTCCTGGATGATTTTAATTGTTTTAAGCAGCACAAAGATAAATGCATTACTGAGTAATAAGATGCAGGAAAACTCATTTTCGGTGTCTCGATGGCAATAAATCCTTACTGTATCCTTAACAGAGGCAAACTTCCAGATTGCTCTGGAATTCTAGGTGATCGTCGCGGTAACGTGGTAAAATCAAGGGTGACGCCCATTTCCCGGCATTCAAAGTAAAAATAACTAATAATATCAACATTTTCAACATCTGTGCCACTTGTTATTCTTAAAATAAAGCTTTACAAATTCTGGTAAACATATCTCTTAAATGTAAACAGTAATAATCATGTAGAAATAAAATTCATATATAAATAAGTTGAAGATACACGAATGTTGAGAATTACAGTAAAATATCAGTCAAAACAGTCGGACTAAAGCTAATTGAACAAATTTTGCGCATCAAAACCTCTGGCAAGGTACCAATTATTACACTATCTGATCAAATACTGTAAAGCTTATGTATGCACATCCTACTATTAGCTATGTTGTATACATGATGGTCTTGAACTGAAACTCACAGCAGACGACATTTACATGCCTCCAATGCCAAGTTACTTAGACTAACAACGATGTATCATGAGAGGCTACGGCACGTATAATGAACAAAACTGGCTAGAAGATTAATTACAGATAGAAGTCGGGAACACCATGAGCCTCAGATCCGATGCATGTCAGTGTAATGGCAATAGTGATTTGATACTGAAGAAGCTGACCTGCGTCGGCTCTGAAACCCCGGCAGATTGACGTGAAATATTGGCGTAAGCTTGTCTTGAAGATTTCCTTTCACAGCGGACTGCTTCATGGTGTAAACGTAAACGTTTTTAAATTGACAAAACCCGTCTACAAATATTGACTAAAAGCACTACATGAACTAAACGGTGGCTATGATATCCAACTTTGTACCAACGGTTCAAGTAAACTAATCATACTTTCTCAGGCGCTAATGATTCACAGATCTACTATACTTACTACCATGTGCGGACCCCTGTCCAGTTCCACAACAAGACTTTGTAGAAAGTCGATATTCAATTGTAGTCTACTTTGACTTGGGATAAACCATCAACAGTCCACATATTCGTTTCACAAAAAGTCAGAAATGGTATGTATTTTAGATCTAGTAATATATGGACTGCTGCATTTTTTTTCCGAGTCAAAGTAGACCGAACTTTCCTAACCGTTAATTTAGTTAAAACGTATTCTAGAAGCCTTGCTCTTATTGTTGTGAAAATGCTAGTGGAATGTTAACTTAGTATTCTATCTGATCTACAAGCCACTCTTATGGCACATGACTGGCCACTACTCAGAATTTTAAGGAACAAAATGATATTTTATATCTGAATACCGTCCACTACGATTTGACTGGCAAAACTAGCATATACTACGTAGCATACATTGGTGTCCTTCAAACCCCTTTCTTCCCCCTTCTCTATCTTTTACTGGCCAAAAGATGCTACCTAAGATCAATCCACCTACAGCAAAAGAAAATACTCAAAACACAAACTGCAAAATGTATTTCAGTCAGAAGCGTGTCAAGAATATATTTAAAGAAGCTGATTATGCCACACTTCCTACTGCATCTAGTTATTGCACTTCAAAAGATCCCATATATATTCATAATGACCATTCATTTTCATATCTTACATCACTGTATAAATGTACAAGAGGAATTGGTACTACCTCACATACAAAAAAAGAAGCATGTATGACATAAATGCAATATACAAGACAATTACGCTGGTTTTGATGCTATTCTCAAGGTATATAATGCACAACCCAAAACTTCACATCACATACTTAATAATGCTGCACTTATCCCATAACCTTTAAATAATCAAAGATTCTATTTTTCTGAGCAAAGAAATGTATATATTGTACATTAGCTCCACTGTATACAATTTCTATACAACAATGACACATATTTACATTGACATCTTTTAGGTCGAACAACAAAAATTTTGCCACATTCTTCAGTCAAAGCTAGCAATGTGCCGAGTCCATAAAACCATGCTACATATACTTATTATGACTGGTATGTACACAAACCTAAGTGGTCAGCAAAATTTTACAGACTTATATTGATTCCATTGTACATAATAAATAAATAAATCAGCTAATATATTTACAGTTATAGAGTACCATGTTCAATAACGGTACTGATTATAAAGGAAACTTTTTGCTACATCATAATAAAAACTAAATGCTCAACTTGTTTCATAATTGCTTTACAACATTATAAACCGGGGTAATGTTTTTTGAATATAATACTAGCTGATTCTAAATAATCATCAACATTATTTAATCATAACCAAAAAAATCAAATACAAAATTGCACAAAAAACAAGTCAACATTAATTATCATGGTTAAAGCTAATGATTTTACTTCCTTAAACTGAAGTTATTGTTTGGAACTATGTTCTGCCATGTTATAACATGTTATTATTACTGGAAGCATTGACAAAGTTATAAAAAAAAAAGCCTTCGGCAATAAACTTTAAATTATCAGATTCATACTTCCTTTGCCAAAGTAATTCAAAACTTAGATCCACTTCAACATGTATCAAACCGTCCAGGTCAGAGTTTTAGTGCATCTAACAAGACTTTCTATGTCATAATCATCAAGATAGAAACTCCAAGAACACAAGCAACGCTGGTTTCAGAAGAACTGTCACCTGTCAGAAAGAGGATGCCCTGTGGAATAGAGATGACGACCCCATGACACTTCAAAGCATAGCCTCCTGTCAATAGTGTTTTGATTTCATTTCTATGTCCACTAATCAATGGACATGACCACGCAACTGGGTTATATTTATCTTAGGAACCTGATAGGTTCAAATGCCGAATTTCCAACAATGTAGAGGTCAGCCACTGTGGGCAGCAGCAGGGGGCAGCACATGTTCAATATGAGACATTATGGTGCCACATTCCGGTCAAGCATTCATGATGTAACACTTGAGTAGAAGCCGTGTAGCTGGTAATCCATGAACACAGACAGTTAACATGTAGCCAGCATTCCATTACCATGAACACAGGCATTTACCATGTAGAGGGTCATCCAGTACCATGAACACTGGCAGTTACCATGAGACTGGTCATTCAGTACCATAAACACTGGCAGTTACCATGTGGCTGGTCATCTAGTACCATAAACACTGGCAGTTACCATGTGGCTGGCCATCCAGTAGCATGAACACTGGCAGTTACCATGAGGCTGGTCATCCAGTACCATGAACACTGGCAGTTACCATGTGGCTGGTCATCCAGTAGCATGAATATTTGCAGTTACAATGCAACTTGTATACCATTCAAGATTGCAGTCAATTCAGTCAGTTTTCAGATTCCATTTGATTCAAAATGAGGAACAGTGAACCACTAAAGCTCCATCAGGTAGCACAGTATGTTTGACACCATAGATTTTAGAGTTTGTAGTAGCAACATCATGGATAGTCACCATGGAAATGGCTGTATGGTACCAGCTGCTTACTCAATAACTGACAGATTTTCTAGCATCCCCAGTTCATGTGTGGATAAAGGTCCAGCATTACCAGGCGATAGTGACTTTAAACAGGACGTGGTGAGAGATGAGTTTTGAAATTTCAGTGTCATAATTTCAGCTGTCACTGCCTTTAAGAGCACCAAATTTAGCGACACCATTACTAAGGAATTTTGAAGCACCGCCGGAGAATCCGCTGGCTGCACTGCCGAGCCCGCTGGTCATACTGCCCAGGCTCATGCTGGGGCTGTTACTGGTGCTGCTGGAGGTGCCCTTGCAAGACTGGGTGGCCTCTTCAACCTGGGGGAATACAGTGATATTAGCCTTATATAGCCATTTACAGTCCAATTCCTTGGTTTACTACTACTACTAAATATAATAATAATAATAATAATAATAATAATAATAATAATAATAATAATAATTTATTTGCAACTAAAATAGTTGGATTGTATAAAACACTTAACTGATAAACTGACTAATTGATAATAAGATTAATAAAATTGTTAATTGAATGTGTTAAGATGAAATTAAAAATCTGGTACTCAGTTTACAAAATGTTTGTAGCGATAATGATAATAATACAGTAAATGTGGCAGATACTTTCTTTAATATAATGAAATATAAGACAGAGGAGATGCACTACATAAATTTCTCTCTGATAACCAAGCATAGGTTTTGAACAGACGGGAAACATTTCATATTAAAGGGATAACAACTCTTCATATAAAATCTATATTTCACAATAAAAACATTGTGAACAACTCATAGAAATATAATACATTCTATTGTACAAGAAAAACAGCAGCTATAGTTATTATTCTGATATCTGAGCTTGTCTTTAGACCACGTGACCTCCATTGATGGCTATACTCTGTTATAATCTCTTAAGAGATTTTCACAAAAAAAAAAAAAAAAAAACTTTTTAGAAAAAAACCAGGGACTAACTTTGAATGTAAAAATGGATTCATTAACCATTGGTAAGTACGGGAAAATTGTTGTTTACTCCAGGAAAATTCATTTTTTGGCCAAAACAAAGAGTTATTATCCCTTTAAGCTACCATAAGTCAAGTCATCTTTAGGGCATTAGGCCACACTTTTTTTATTTTTATGGATGACATCCTGCGCGCGCACCGATTTTCATCCGTTCTCCAAAACCCCCCCCCCCCCCCACGAAGTCAGTTGTCGCAAACGTCGTTTTTTCGCCCTCTCGCACCGATTTCGGGGTCCCAAGAGGATGTCATCCATAAAAATTAAAAAGTGTGGCCTTATGTGTAAAAAAAAAAAAAAATTACAAAAAACAATATTTTATACAGTACACGCTGACAAAAATTCAAATTTCTTCAAATCTTATACCTGTAGTCTGTTGCATATAGTTTGGTAAGTCTTCGAGTTGAGGATTTCTTCACTAACACCTTGAAGCTCAAAGTCTGAATAACATTTCTAAAAAGAAACAAAATTTGCAGTGAAATACCTGGTCTGAAATGTTTATTAAATCTAAACACTTTTATTTTCTACACATATTTGCTGCAGCTCCAGAGCTATTATAATGGATACACAAATTTGAACCCTTACATTAAAACAGACATATGTGCAAACACATTTAATGATGAGCGTATTCAGTTGCCTTGAACTGTTGGCTTGTCATTACCTTTGCTATTGTTTGATAACACTGTAGCTGTACCGGGTGAAGGGAAAGATCCAGGCGGTTAGATAACCAGTCACACAGCGTCTTCATCTGGCGGGTATACCATTGCTGGAATATAAGTCAATACAATAACTATCATATTATACACCTTTACAATAATAATATTACAGCTATGAACACTAAGTTGACTGCTCTGCAGTTTGTATCAATTCAAAATATTGCATTTACATTGCACTTTTTACAAACTGTGTTCAAGTGGTGAGATCAATTTAGAATAATTTTGCAAATTCAATAAAACAATAAATCTAATTAATAAATGAAATAATTACCAAACAATCCCAATAACCAAATGAGGAATATTGCCAATGCCAGCTTAAGATTATTAAACACCTGTGTCGGTCTAAATAAATAAATAAATAAATAAATAAATAAATAAATAAATAAATAGGATCCTCACGATCTTTAGGATTCTTACTTCACATATGGAGAGTACAAAGAGTTCATCCGATATTTTTTGTCTAATAACGTCCAGGTTAGCTCTCATAAATGTCACGTATTCTTTTCCTACTTCCTGGTTACTGACTGGGACCTTTTTCTGATAAAACAAGAATTAAAAAATAAATACAAAATAGTTCAATTATCTTCTTTTTTACAACAATTCAATTACTTAATTCATAGAAATGATAATATTAGTTTAACTCACTGTCAAACTGCAATTAAAGGGATAATAACTCTTCGTATGAGATCTATATTTCACAATAAAAACATTGTGAATAACTCATAGAAATATAATATATTCTGTTTTGCCACAAAAACGGCAGTTATAGCTATTATTCTGATACCTGAGCTCGTCTTTAGACCACGTGACCTCCATTGATGACTATACTCTGTTAAAATCTCTTAAGAGATTTTAACAAAAAACCAAACTTTTTAGAAAAAAAAACAGGGACTAACTTTGAATGTAAAAATGGATTCATTAACCATTGGTAAGTATGGGAAAATTGTTGTTTACTCCAGGAAAATTCATTTTTTGGCCGAAACAAAGAGTTATTATCCCTTTAATCTCTCTGATCCAATTATGGTTGAGTATAACTGTTTGAAATGTGATCAATTTAAAGAAACTGGTGTCAAATATTAAGTTTTTATCAGTATTCTTGAAAATTTCTACTCACTGCTATGTTCATTATGGAGGACAGGAAAGAACCTTCATCATAGCGAGAGAGTTTGTGAACAACATTTTCCAAGATGCTCAAAAGCTGAAACAGAATGGTTAAAAGTAATACAAACTTTCATAACATCAAACATAAGGGGCAAAGTGTAAGATGGAAGAAGTATAAAGGTAAGTTTTGTGTTGACAAATATATTACATGAAAGCTACGGTTCATCAGTGCACAAGAATATACAGACATTAGCCTAGGTTTAAAAAAAAAAAAACCTCTGAACATTTATCACATGAATTAACACTTAACATTGACAAATCTCAGGAACCATGAGAATTGAATAAAAAAATGCGGAATTCTGCTTTTCCGCAGAAAGAGCTTGTGTCTAAATCTACCTGCACATTTACTTACTTCAAAGATATGATAAATGTCACTGTTGTTTTTAAATATCTTATTCTATTTTATTAGTTAACAATTTCTGTGAAAGCTGTCACACCTTATCTACCACACTCTTCACCATCTGAGTCTGGATCTTCTCCAGGAGCTCATCTACCTGGGTGTGGTACTGACGCTGGAAACATTCAGAAGATCCAATTAATTTCTTATCTCTAAATGATATACTTGTAACGATCTAGACATTATTTTTTTACTTTAAATGGTAAAGATAGCCTATTTAAGTTTGGCAACTGCATTCATTGTGGGCCAATCATTTCTGAAAAAGCTCTAAGATTAATACTGCAAAGTAGACTTTATGAAGACAACTTAACTTTATAAAGTTGTCTATCAGACTTTGAAAAATCCATTAATCAGCCTAAGTTTTCCAGGTTAGCCATCAGATTTCAGTAGTCTAACTTATTTCCAAAACCCTCAGGCTTTTTTGTGTAACAAATAAAGAAGTATCAATGTCAAGAGCATGTTACCATGTCCTCTGAGGGCATCTCCAGGGCACACAGCTTCAGACACTGGTTCTTGAAGTCCAGCGCCACATTCATCTGCACCATCATCTCTGAGGGGATTACGTAGTCTGTACCCCCGCGGCCCTTCTTCAACCACTGTTCAAAGGCTGTCAGAGTTCTGAAACAGAGACAGTAATACATATACAATATTCTAAAGCCTTTTTTGTGAACTCAAGTATCAGCAATAGATGATACCTACAGAAGACAATTCCAAACAAAGACATCCCCTCTTCCCAAGATAAAAGTAATGAGCAAAATAATCGGATATATTTGACTGCTACCTCTGACTGTTGTGCCCTCTTTATTCCCCGTGTTATGGCAGTGACTCAATTTTTTCAATAGAGAACACTCTGAATTTTATAGATACTGAAAATCAGAACATTCCTATTGATTGTTCTATAGTTCTTTTCTATACAGTAAAAGCACCAAAAACCCTACACAGAAATACATCTATAATGATTCTGAAATTACGCCAATGAAAGTTTTATGATTTTACCTCTTGAAAATGAGTCATTACCTTATCTGAACCATACCTTTTAGCTGCGGCTTCAATCATATCAGAGGCCATCTGTTTCAGCCGGTGGTCCAGGTGTTCAGCAAAGACCTCGTCAGGCCAGTGGAGGTCACGGATGAAGGACTGGAGAGCGTCCAGCTTCCACAGCATGTCCTCCGACGTGTTACACCCATTGCTGGAAGTGGATTAAATAAATAATTTAAAATAAAATATGTAAATAAATAAATGAATAAAGAGTGATTAGATGGACTGGAATAGACATCTTGCGATTGAGAGCATGGAATGAGTATTTCATATCAGTATTATAATTATCTGTAATTAATCTGACAAAGAGTTGGATAAATACACAGACATAATCGCAAAGTCAGATAAGATTACTCCTTGATAAAAATAAGATTATTTATAGATATTTATTTGTATCATTTTTTCCAATATGTCTTTTTGATAACATGAGCAGCACATTATAAAACTATTACAGACTTAAAACTTTTTGAATAGATATAAATAAATTTAATTTAATTTCTCAAGTTTTTGCAATGGTGCTTTTGAATTAATGCTTTTAAAAATGACTCCTTTTGTTGAAAACTAACACGCTGAAGTTGCACGATAAGCATTAGAAAATACTCAGATCTTTTCATGATGTTCAATGGAATAAATCTAAAATCAGATTCAGATTCAGCTACAACACAGGTTAAAAAACATATCCAATTGACATTAATATAGAATTAACCCGAGAAGCACATACAGATACAGCAGAAATCAGATGGCATATAATCAATTATTAAAACAAATGCTAATGTTGTTGATAATAATCCCAGGCCTAATGCATCGCAGATGCCACAATCATTTATAAGGCAAACATCGAGTCATTAGTCAATAATTCATGAAATCATACTAAGGTGAAATGATAGAGTTGCATGAATTTACACAATCAAATATAGCACTCATTTCTTGCTTGACAACTGCATAAACGGTATCACATCCAAGTAGAGTTAATTCAGAGAACTTAATAATTCAAATTAAACAGCAAATGGATGATTTATAAGTAAAACAGAAACCCATTTTAAAAATGTTAGGAAATCACACAGACGCTATAAAACTATTTTGTAATACAAGATATTTAAAGAAGATCACTGTAATTGAAGAGAGAGGGTTTTCATTGAAAAATACATTTCGGGTAAACACATAAAATAAGATGACTTTTTGTATGGTAAAAAAAAGAGCATAGGTATAAGAGGGGATGTGGAAAAAAGGGCATTGGAAATATTTTTCTTTCAAAGAAAATAATATTTATATCATTCATCTATCAAAGTCCATAACATTTAGGATATTTAATGAATAATGTTGGACATCAAAGCTGATTTGTATTAACAAAGGGTGTTAAAGAGGACTGTATCTTGTATGTGGTTAGACACACATATCCAGCAAGTTTGGAGAACAAATTGGAATGGAACATTTGACACAGATATGAATATATTAGTAAAACAATATATATGGGAACACAGGCTTATCTTCATGCTACAGGGAAGAAACTGTGATGATAATTATTCACAAATAATTAAGTTAAACTAGTACTCAGTTCCAGTCATAAAATTGCAAACTGTCTAATGCCATATAAACCTGCTATCCTTCTGCCATCTATAACTTCTATACAAGAGTTCAAGGCAATCATCTTTGACAACTGCTGCCATCTATAGATGTTCAAGGTGATCACCCTTTAAAACCAACACACTTTCGGGAACGCAATAACTATGAAGCACCGGAGGAAGAGGGAGAGCGCCTGCTCCCTACACGCTTCTTCCTTGCTCGCTGCCAACGCTCTAATTGCCGATTTTAAAAGAGTCACGTGGCTGCTTTTAGGCTAACGGCCTTAAATTTGATAGGCTCCCACGACGGGGACCGCGCGCGGCGCGCCCTCCAGTGGCGGTTTTAAATAGCTTTCCGTTAAACGAAAAGAGTACAACAAATGCTGCCATCAACAGTGTTCAAAGCAAACACCTTGAGAATGATTTTCACTGGCATCAGACAGGTCCCATATATATAGACTTTCCTGAGAACTACAAATGTGGTGTTGTTAACTAGACAGGCAGTATACATCATAAGAAAAAGACAACAAGAAACAGAGAACACACTTATCTTTTCAACAGAAAGCTGTTTTGTTTCCTGCCAAGTACTTACCGAAGCGGAGTGCTATAGAAGTGAAGAGCATTCATACAGTGAGTTAATACTGCACACAATACAATGACAATATGTGCAACATGCCATACAGTATATGCTTACAATGAACACTGGGCCATTCCACAGTATTGTGTTTTTTCTTTCTTTTCTTTTTAAATCATCCCATTTTTAATTGGAATTGGTAATGACGAGTAAAATACACTGTGGAATGGTCCTTTTTTTTTCAGTCATGGCTGTGAGTCCCCCATGCAGTCAGTATTGCCACACATTCCATCTATCAATACACACTAGGCAGTGAAAACAAGCTACAGTAAAAACTGCATCATTTTTATCCCCTAACAGTTTTTGAACCTGGCGATCAATCTGGACCTCAACAGAATACAGTGTCTTATTATTATTCTATGGAGGTACTGTATATTGTAAGGGAAAATATTTTCAAGACTCATAAAAATCTTGCAAAGGGATTTTGATGTCATTAACTCTCTTATGTATTAATAAAATCATTTAGCTAAAGCCAAACTGTGATTTTTCTAGCTCTAATCTATGCGTAAGCAGAGTTCACAATGCTTAAACAAAAGGCTTCCTAACTCTTTAAGTTTAGCCATTTGTTATGATTAAATCCTTTTTGTAGATTTTTTTTAAATTTGCATCTTTTTCATGAAAAGTTTTATTAAATATAATGGGTGAAAGTCTGTTCCACAACCACCCATCTACTAGAGAGTAACTCCTCCTCCTCCTCTCTCTCTTTCTCTTTCTCAAACACACACACACACACACACACACACACACACATCCTCTGACCTGACTGCAAGAGAAGTATATCTGTATATATGAACTGTAACAGTAACAAACAATACCACTTTACATTTTAATAGGCTGCATTCCAGACATTAACCCACACTTATCAATATGCAATACACGGGATGGGCCTGGGGCTTAGTGCTTTATTTTCCCCACTTCACAGGTCATATTTAATTCCAACATCACAAACACACCATGCAAGGTACTGTTCAGTCCAGTTCTGACATGTTCAACATTAAAACGGTTTCATTTCTACACAAGAATGCTAAATAATGCCATCATGAAAATCAATATTGTGATTGTAACAAGTGTAACTTTCATTTTCTGCCATAAACTCACTAAATCTGCTTACTAGCATTACTACAGAGTACAGAGTGGAGGAGTAATAACAGATAATTTCCATTTTCACTAAGATTTTTAAAATTGTGGTGAATTAATGTGGCCATCTAGAAACACTTTTAGAAATGAAACAGTTTTAACTTTCACCCTGTCTGAACAAGTCTGTACCTAAAAACCCTTTGCCCAGACTGTGGATGCAACATTAAAAATACCAGAAAACTTTAAGTGGCTGAAGGTACCAAAATTCAGTCTTCCAGTACTTGGATCCCATACCCCCCCCAACTAACAACAAGATCCAATCAGTCTCGGTCCACTGAAGCCTAGTGTGAACTTACCCAGCTGCCTCCCATTTCTCCTTTTCAAAGCCCCTGTGGATGGACTGAGCAATGGAGGACTCCATCAGGTCCACGTAGCGCACCACCTGCGGCGCAAACACGTCACGCAGGTGGATGTGAAACTTGCCATTACGCAGGTTAGCTGAAAATGAAATAAAAACTTGTCATAACAGTTTTACCACTTACTATTTTTATCATTATCATCATCATATCATATAAAATCATGTAAAAAAGCACTTGATCAAGTTTTGCTAATAAAAGGATTTTACTACTACTTACACCAGTTCTGTCTTTCAACCTCTACATGGAACTTCTCTCTTTTGCAAACTGAGTGCACTATACATTAATTTTCTTTTTTCTGCTGTGGGAGAGGATGGCCATGGGAGAAAAGAAGGTATATACTGTACAATAACAGACAAATAAACACGTGTGAGGCCTGGGTTTACCATCTCCCTTAGAGGGCAATCAGAACAGATGATCTGTGGACTAACTGATCCTCTGACAAAATATGGACGACCCCACTTAAGAGAGGTGCCACTTAATCCTCTGATAGTCTCCCTGCTTCCACACGCGCCATTAAACCAATTTAATCTCGGCCCCAAGGTTTAATTGGAAGGTCCCTCATCAACAGCATGTGGAGGCCATCAGGGGATTAGTTGGCACTGCTTTTAAGTGAGTCAGCCATATTAAGTCCATGGATCTGTTAGTCGAATGCTCTCACAACAGCATCATCAGTCTCTTACCATCAGTCATCAGGTAGTCATTGAGGATCTGGAACAGCGGGAAGCTATCCCAGGTGTCCGGGGGCTGAGACTGGAGACAGGCGTCCATGTCCACGGCAAACAGCGACCAAAAGATCTCCGCGTGCTCCACCAGCAGGTCACTGAACCACGCAAATGCCTGGAAGTCCACAGATTGGCCAACACTTACAATCATTTTTTTTTTTTAATTCTTTTCAAGTGCATGCTTTGTGTGCAAGAGACTAGATTGTAGATTTTTGTTTTTCGTTTTAAATATTGAAATGTGAAAGAGAGTCAGTAATTTGGAAGCATCTCCAGATCTTTGACTGATTTTTCAGTATCATGATCCAATTCCATTTAAGGTGTCCTATCAAGGATTTTTTTTTTTTTTTGCCCAATCAAATTTTCTTCAAAAAAGAGGAAGTTTTTCTTTTACTCATGAAAACTTGTTCAGACTGTCCCTGCACTTGGTTTTGATGTTTTATACCATTTGTTATTAAATAATTTAGAAATAATTGAACAGCCACCAAATCTTAGACCATCAAATCTTTTTGTGCATTTCAGAAAGTAATATCTACCGTAATTTTATGTTTTTGTAGTGTTCAGATTTGAAATGAGAAAGATAAGCAGTTTTGCAGGGCATAAAATAATTGCAGACAGAGAAACTGTGACTCTGGGAAATTTCATGTGTGTAGTACGGTATACCTCCATCTTCTTGACAAAAAAATTAATGAGAAGCTGATCATCCAATAAATAATCATTTATTAACTAAATCACTAAATTAAAAATGGAATAAAACATGGTCTCCAAGTGCAAGGAAGGGTCCAATAATGATACATTAGTGGGAAAAAAGTGCATTCCCTGCCCGAGGAAACTTCATTTTTACAGGTAAATCCCACATACTCTAATATGTCACATCAGTCAAAAAAAATTCCAAGAGAGGCTCCAGTTCTATATTCTCTAAATATTTACTTTCTATAAGCACAGTACTATAAATAGAGATTTGGAAACACAAACAATGCATGACATAATCAGTTGCAAAACTGACCTAAGCTTCTACATTTTTACACTACATATTTAAAGCAAGGTCTTCTTCACTGAAGGAATTTGCGGAAACATTTGATCAGAAAATCCCACAATTGGCCAAACAACATCAGAAAAATAAAAGAATATCTAGGGAGAGCACTCTAAGCTAAGCAAGGGAAACATCTGCTAGTTGGGTAAAAGGACAAAAAGTTAACAATTAACTACTGATGAATGTTAAAATATATGGGATAACGTATTCAATAAAAAAATCAATCAATAATAGCACCAACTGCTGGCTGTCAAATTTGTAGTAAAAACTGTACTAACACTGAAATAAAAATAATCATAACATGTAAAGGTTAAAAAATCTATGAAACAAACAGTTTGAAGTTCATAAAACCTAGTACTTTTCTTTATGCCACCAATAAAAATAACATCTCTAATAACAAAAATTAAGTAAGATGATAAATAAATGAAGAAATAAATAAAAATTAAAACTGAATTAATTTAAAATGCTGGCTAGCTGATTTATTAGTGCAGATATTTATTCATGCTGTCTGCCTGGCAATGTGTGACAGTGACCATGACATTTCCAGGTACGGGGGTAAAAAGTAAATATCTAATATAAAAAGTGCTATATGACCAAATTGAATAGCCTAGAGGTCGTTTAACACATGTATTATGAACATATGGACATGTATTCCTCCGCCACTGACTGACGGTCAGTTCTCTACATATGTGCCTACCTGTAACTTTGAAAACTGAAATGCCAAATGTAAATGCTTTTAAAACATATCTCATCATGTGGTATGTTCCTTTGGATGCTGCAAGCGATTCCAGTGAATTTCATCTTATTGATTTTTAAACTATTACAACATAATCCATGTACAAAGTTTAATATGCAGTCTGTATTGTGAAGAATTAGCTGACTGTTCAGTGTGTATGCTAAAATGCCAATTTAGAATAAAAAAAATAATTTCAAAACCTCAGGAAAAAATTGAAGTTATAAGCGTGTGATTTGGATGGGAAGGTTCTTTATTTTGCATGTAACCAAAAGTTGTAATTGTCTAAAAATGTTCTCAAAAGGGCATCACATAAGGAAATTGTTAAAAAAATTGAGCACTATATCGGTCTTTACCTGTCAATTTTATTTGATCAAACATACAAAAAGACTTAATTGATGTTTTAACAGTGCATGCAAAAAAAGTGCCACCTTCAAGTAAACAAGAACTGATTTGGTGTTTTCCAAATTGTGGAAGAGATCACAGTGCCATCTCTAGGGCAAAAATGTGTCTCCCAAATTCACTGCACTCAAATCCACATTAAAAACTTTATCATTTTGGTGACCTTGGTGCACATTATGATAAGAATGTCCAACCTAGTGGTTTGTCTCAAGCCTTGCTTGCCGTCCTGCAGCATGCATGCAACAAAAAGAGTCCTGGATGACCATTGGTGGAAATTTAAAACAATGAAAGTTTACCACCTATCACTCAAATCATGATCATCAACCTAAATCTTCTCAAGCAAATGACATCTAGTATGAACTGGAAATGCTATATAAGCAGTAATTTAATTTGGGCATTCTCTTACAAAAATCTTTCATTCATTTTGAAATATGTGTCACTTACAAACACAAATCTCTTGTCGGGGGAATAGTAAACAATATCTTGAAAGGTGGCTAAAAAGGGTAGTAAAATACAGATGACTTGTGTTTTCTTCTGTTAATTTTGTTAATCTTGTTTATTCGTGAGATCTGGTTGGTGAAATGACCAGCATTGTCACCTAGGGCAAGATTTTATAAGTCATTTTTCAACTGATTGTCTTAAAATGTTTCTAATTTTTAGATTCTAAGTGCCTAAGCAGCTACCCATTGAAGCAATTAGCAGAGTTCATTATTTTCATCATTCCATGATTCATTTATTATTTTTTTCTTGTTTTCTTTCATTTTGGAATAGCAGACAAGCTTACAAAAGTTACAAAAAGAAGTGAAAAAGCCAGTTTATAGTCAAATGATTTGGAAAGTAAAAGCTCTCCTCAAAAATCAAGGATCATTCTTTAGAACGCAAGGCAAAATACAAGCAACAAAGTAGCAGAATTAATATGCAAATCTTCAAAAAAAGATAAGAAGCAATAAAACTTCTGTCTGTATAATTTGCACTGTCATAACTATCGTATTATAAACATACTGTAATTTCACTTTCTTCATAGGACCAGGCTAATATATAAAATGCTATCCAGCAGTATTAAATCAGATTACTTTTAAAATGTGATCAATAAACCTAAAACAGATGCCAGCAAGCTTATCAGAGAGATAACTGTAAAGAACAGCAGAGTTGCAATGACTTGACGACAGAATTGGAAAGTGACACATCTTGCCAATGAACCATTACTGCCATCTATGAATGTGTTTATGTGATGGTGGCTCTATATGCACCAACAGGATAACACAAATAGGTAATGAATTTTTCTAATACATCATGCCCCTGCCCCCTGCCTAAATGGGGAGGGGGGGGAGGGGGGGGTTAGACGCTTTCTCTACATAACAGCAGAGCTACATCTCAATTCCACCCGCCCTTGTCTCTCCTTCAGTCTTCAAGTCATTGCCCTCCTAGAATGGCACTGAATGAATCAATAAGTGAACTAAAACAATTCATCTAACACAGCACCACACTCATCAGGGGTCTGGGTATACACTCACCGCTCGAAACTCCTACCAAGCACAAGGGAAACAGGGATATAGATGTATTTATTCTTTTATAAATATACATGTTGTGTTAGTACAGTCAATCTACAGGGAAAAGTTAAAATGCAGTGACTTTTTCTCTATGATTTATGCCTGAATTCATAACCTGAAATGAAGTTAATGAGAATACCTAAACGTTATATATCAGACACAATCCCCCAGTATTTTCCATTGCTTTATAAGACTCTTAACAAAAAACAACTGATGGAAAATATTGAGTTTATTAGGATTAGTTTGATATATTAGGAGGAAAAGAAGGGACACATGCTGCTTTTTTTTCTGTAAAATCTTGGAGTAAATATTTCTTGAATGTTTTCATAAACTTAGCAAAAATAAATAAATAAATAAAGACAAGGCTTCAGTTTAATGAGGGGGCCAAATATCTTTGTAATTTTGATTTTAGAAAAATCATGCGTCCTTCTGGCTCCTATCAAGATGGAGCAGTCACATTCTACAATGTCCGGCTCCATAGTGTGCACATGGCAAACAAGAACATAAATCTTAAGCATGATGGCAACACTTTCCCCAAGATGAAAAAAGAAAGAAAAAAATTGTAAACAACATTCATTATTATCAATGCAATAAGTAACATATCCATTTACAAAGCAGTCAACAATCTTGATTAACTTATTACACAGGTTTCCCAAAATTTTCACAATCTAAATATAAAAGGAACACTTTTGGTATCGTAAACAATATAAGTGTAAAAAAAATGAAACCTCAAATACCAAACTTCAAAAATGTATTCATATAAAAAAATAATCTAAAATCAAGATCATTTCAAGTCGATTATCACTAGTTAATGAAAAGCACCCATCACAGGGAAGAGAGTTGCCAACACACCAATACAGAGCATTGAATTCCACCACAACTTCAGCCATGCTAGCAGCTGGACAGTATGGGGGGGATGATGGGACAGAGAAGCTTCTGCCTGGACATATGGCTTCTGTGCAGTCTAGTGGTACTATAACAATATGGTGCTCTGGTCTCTCACTCTCTCTCTATATATATGCATACATACAGAACAGTGTTGTACAGTGTTTTAACTTGATGGGTTATTTCTCTAGACATGCCTACATAAAGTACATCTCAGACAACTATTCTCATACTACATATTACTTCATAAAAATCCTTTAATATCACAATAATAAGAGCATAAGAAATGACTAGTTATCTATCTGACCATTATGGTAATTGTTATGAACAATTTTCATCAATAAATATTGATTTATCGCAAAAAACAGGGGAAGATGTATTTCAATAATATCAATATGTCTGCCAAATTCAAAATGGTGGCAAAATGTGCACCCCATGATCCTTACCTCTGCATGGTGTTCTTCATTCTGCTGGAGAACTTCTATACAGAGCTCTGCCAAGTGAATCACATCATCCAGTTTTCTCTCTGGTGGGACATCATCATTGTAAGACTCTAGAAAATTTATACAAAAAGTGAGATACGGGCATGCATTAATAAAGTATAGAGAGGTTCTATAGCGCACTGGTTGAACTGAAGCTAACACCAGCATGTAATTTTGCATTATTCCAGGAAGAATCAATAACATATAAAAACATGAAAATCATCCCCATCATCTTTTAATTACAAAATTAAAATTAAAAAAAAATTCAGGGAAGTCATTTAAACGGGATAGAGCCTAATGTTGGTTCCAATTCCTCTTCTAAAAAACTTAAATCTTCAAATGACATGTAATCCTTTATACCTAGAGATACATGTTCTTTCAATGCATTATTTTTCAAATTTAAGACTCTCTTGAAAATTAAAGTCCACAGTAAATATGAATATTCTGCCTTGCATGTCTGGCTTGAATATTTTTTCTTTTAACTTACGTACTTAATCAAATTCAGCCCATGCAGCTCATATAGTGTTTCAAAATACTATAAAAGTACAAAACTGTCTCATCTTTAAAATAACAAAAAAAAAAAAAAAAAATACTCAGAACTGATTTCACCTGAGGCCACAAAACTCAGACAAAAATGTGATTACACAAGAAAAAAAAATATCCACAATTCTATACATAAATGTGTGTTGAAACTGAGAAGGTTCATCTATTGTGCTAAAACATTTTTTCAACAGGATTTAGGTTCAGTCAAAGATTAATTTGTCATAATTACTGACAAAGAGACAAACAACATTATCATCACAACAGAAAAATAACAAGGTGTGCTACTGTTGAGGAGAAAACTCCAACAATCAAAAAGATTTAAATATAGCAAAGTAAACTAAAAGGAGATTAGTGATCAATAACTATTCTAATCAGACAGAAAGGGACAAAAAACTATCAACTAATATATATGCACTGTAAGCAAACTGCAGGGAAGAAACAACACTGAAAAGAAAAAAAGAAAACATTGAAAACTATTGGACAAACATCACTCTAACTCTGTTTAAATGAACACAATGTCTACTGTTATTTCAAAGCTCCATTCACCTTTCGACTTCCCATTGTGTGTGGCTGAAAGCATGCCAAAACAAGAGGCAAATGTTAGTCCATAGCTGTGATTAGACCAAGTGCCCGGTTTCAAATAAAGTTCTCAGTTTCTGTGCTTAGCTTCAATCTAATATCTTTAGTTTGTTTTCGTGTCTTTGATGAGAAGGGGCAATGTACTGGATTGTGGCGGGGAGGTTTTGGCTACACATAATCATATTTTTTTATATCTGTTATTTAAACTTTTACTCCTTGTGCTACCCTGTATTCCAACAGCACACAAACAAAATGTTAGTATCAAGCTCATGCCACTTTCACTTTCATTTTTGCCACCCCAACTTACATGTGCCCACACTGACAGATACTCCTACAAAGAGATGAAGCAGGAACAAGTTTAAAGTGTAAGGAAATTTTAAAAACCTGTATTTGCATCTATGAGTGTTCTTTTGTGTGTGTTGTTATGCATGTGCACTCTTGTCATATAATAATTGAATCACAATAATTGAATTACAGTGTTATTTGGTTTTCAATTTTGTTTTCATGTTCTGATATCAATGTGGAAAGACAACAAGGCCAGGAAGTCAGCTAATTTAGATGTCAAAGGCACAACGATATGAACAAGTTTGAAGATGTCATAGACAGGACGCCACACTTTTTCTGAAATGTTTAGTTTCAAACATGTATTAAGTTAAAGGATTTTCAAAGTAAAAAGAACAGAAAAAGACAAATACTTGTCATCTTTTAAAACAGCTTTTTTAAAATTCAAAACAGCACCTAATACGAAATGATTTATTTAAACCCTCTGATGGAGGGGGAGGGGGGGAGGGGGGAGTGCAGCTCTATCCACCTAATATGTGCATATACACATCTTGCTATGTAATACCTTTGTTTTCTGATGTATGACAAACAAATAAGTTGAAGTACTGAAAGATAGGCAGATCTATTGACTGAAAATGTGTTATCATCTGAAAAAGACTCACTTTTGGTTTAAGCATACATATCTATAGCATTAAAAATGCATTGAGGACAGTAAAGCATACTTTGAGGAGATTATACTTTAGCCCCACTGCAGAATACCATGGTATATGGGCCCTCAAAAATTCCTGACAACTACATCTTCCTCATTCATCTTGCTATTGGCACATTTCTGTCACATTTTGATATGTGAGGAGAAATACATGGGCTACCTTGATAAATACACATAAACATCCATAACAATATATTAAAAATCAGTTCATTCAACTGCCCGGGTTTTGCCCTCTCACCTTCTATCCTGGCATACTCGGATATTCTGGTGTAATTGACAAGAGCAGCCTTTTCAAGACATTTCTTGATCACATATCGTACTTCTTCTGTGGGAACAGGGGTTACAATGTCCTTCATCAATACCTACAACACAAACATTTATCATTACAGCCCTCATTTAATTAGACTGAAACAATGTTCATTATGAAGGGGTATTCAAAGTTATGAACTAACACACATTTTTTCAGTCTGTGGCTTTCACTTTTCAGCCCACTGGTTACTTGGACTAATAGTAGGCTATAGGAAATTATTTGTCCAAATCAAAATGATGATGATAATGATAAAATCTATGAAAAAAAGGGGGATTTTATTCTAAAACAAACATAAATCACTTCTAGTCTTTTCAGACAATGACTTCAATAAACCTTATCATTTTTCAAGTGTCATGCCAATCATCAACTCTTCGCATAATGACGAAGTTGCAGACAGCACTTTTTAAACAAAACTTTACCTTACCTTTACCTTAGAACACATGAATATTTACACCATTACTGAAGCTATGATAAGAATTTTGTGACATATCAACAAGCATATGCCAATTTCCAACACAAATGAGTACTAGAAAATAGATAATATGGATCTGACTAGTGCTTAAAGATTACGCAGCATGTCTATAACAATAGGACTCTGGGCTTACTCTTTCTAGCAATGACAGTGTGGCCTTGAGAGCTCCCTCAGGGCGACCAAATGGGAAGACGTAGCGAAAATGAGTGATTTGGTTTTCCAGTAGAATCCTCAGCCTTTCCTTGATTTCGTCAAACTTTTCTTTCTCTATTAAAAGGACTGTACTGCTACCATCAGGCCTGGAATGACACATTTTATAATAAGTATATATTACGAAATGTCAGGTCATCAAAGTTTCAGGTTGAAGCAAATGTTAATTATAACTTCAATAATTTAGACAGTAGGCTACATCGTATAATATCAACAATGTCAATTTCTGTCAAAAAGGCTTAATCTGAATATTGACAAATAAAGGCTTTAAAATTATGAGAGAGAGAGAAAGAGAGATAGAGAGAGAGAGAGAGAGAGAGAGAGAGAGAGGGATAATAGGAGAGAACTGGGAGAGGTACAGACAAGGAGTGAGGTGATGGAGAGCCTGAAAACATCCTGACAGAAGTCTCCCTAATCTTCACAATGCTAATCTTCTCTGTACCTGTTCCCATGCACGTGTGAAGCACAAAAAGCAAAGCTGTAGTGCATGAGGGTGGGGTCAATCATGATGCCATTCTCCGCCCTCTCCAGCAGGTCGCTAAGGTAACACAGGTGGCGGTGACAGCCGCGCACGCCGTAGCGTGCCGTGTACTCATCGAGGCAGAACACTTGACCTGGACTGAACCAACCCTACAACATACAAATGAATATATTTCAATATAAAGCATTACTGGGAGTGCACAGTACGGGGCACTTGCTGGATGACTAGATTAAGTTGATATCCATGACAACTTAAATTAAACTGTCAACAGAGCAGAAGCCCTGTGGGTTAATTATATCATATGTCTTGTTAATCTTTGCAATATGAAAGATCAGCACTTATTTTAGACAATAGCAGGCTTACTGCTCACCATTAAAAAAATAACATGCTCTTCTGACAGCCAAAGTTATTAAGGCTCAAGGCAAAGATCAATGTTCATCATGTCATCATAAATTAAAATGTGTCAACAAAAACAAAAGATATAGTAACAAACACCCAATATATAGTAACACACACACACACACACACACACATACTTGTCTATTTATTTATTCATTCATCTTTTTAACCAGGTCTTTTTATTCCAGTTTAATAATCATTTCCCAGTGACTGTATTGAAAACAGTTACGCTGATCACCCACAAATAATTTTAAAATTCACACACACACACACACACACACGCACACAAACACAAAAACAATTATCAGANACACACACACACACACACACACACACACACACAAACGAGATATCCATTGTCAGTGCCCATGTACTAACCAAGCAAGTGTAGGCATCTTCCAGCCTGTAGTCTAAGGTCAAGGTCTGGAGCTTCTTAAACAGCACTGCGTGGTCAAATTTGTAAGGTTCTGCCAGCACAAAGTCGTCCAGGCCATGTTTCCTGGCACGATCAGCATCTGGAAATATTGAGGGTGTTCTGGTTAAAATTTCGTAATACAGGTTAAATATCTTCTTAGTACCCCTAAGATATAAAATTAAAATGTAATAATACAGGTTAAATATCTTCTTAATATCCATAAAACATAAAATTTTAATTTCATACTACAGGTTAAATACCTTCCTAGTACTTTTAAATAAAAGTCTTAAAAAGCATGATGTTGGGGCAGCAAAGCAGAATATTTCAAATACCTGAATGCACAAATTCAATGTATACCTTCCCAAGAAAAGGACTGGTTACTTTTAAGGTTAAATATTATCTTGGCAATGTTAGTAATGCACTGTAAATGTTCACGCTGACAACGGGCAATTGTCTATAAATATATCCAAAATGTGTTTTTACACAGTTTATAGGGGCTCAATCATTTTAAATTAAGTGGTTAGAAAACTGATTTACCAATCACTTTCCTTAAAAGGATTTTTTCTGTCTTTCTTAATCAATAGTTAGTGCAGAAGAGTCTGGCTCATGTCAAACAGTCTCCTTTTAAGCTTAAAGGCTTTCCTTTTTATCAAAGGATTTACTTGGAATAGTTTCACTTTAACTGCAAAATCTATTTCCAGAACATTTTTGTACAACTGCATTTGATTCTGAACAGCTAGATTCATGCCTCTTAAAGATAACATATTTCCTTTCTAAAAGCATTATAACCCTTTTATGAGGAAAAATACTATTTTAAATTATGTATATTTATTGAAATGACTGAATAAAAGTAATCAAGATTTCTATCATGATTATTATGATTCTCTTTATATCATCATCATCATCATCACTGCTTATCAATTGTGAATATGTTTATTGAGCTACCCCCCCCCCCCCCCCTTGTGTCCGTGACAGAGTAGAGTTGGCTGTCTTAGTGCCCTGTTGTATTGCTGTGGGGGCCTGTGGTTTATGGGTCTGTCCTGTACCCCGATTCACACACCCCCTCAACCCCACCCCTTCTTACCTCCTTGTATCCGTGACAGTGTCGAGTTGGCTGTCTTGGTGCCCTGTTGTATTGCTGTGGGGGCCTGTGGTTTATGGGACTGTCCTGTCGCCCTATACACAGCCTGCACCCACAGTGTCCTCTCGTTCTCGTCCTCTGTGGCAAAGATGACACTGTCCCCTTCCTTGACTGTGTTGAAGAAACAACGCCCTCCCTCTAGGTCTGAAAGCACATACAAAATAGCCTCTGATAGTTTTTTACTTTTTATTTATTTATTGATGCAATAACCATTACTCGATTCAAGTTTGAAATGTGAGACATGATGCACTCTGAAGTCTACCTTTCATAATGCCACTTTTATTCTCATATAAAATAGCTTAAACCAAAAGGTAAAGACTATTTACCTTGAGTCAATATTCACAACAAATTAATAAAATTAATGCAATACGACAAAACATTTAGATGATTTCAGTTTGATGACCAGTAATTTGACATCTCATATTTCATCTAAGCTTACCACTGGGAGCCTCAGTGTAGTCCACAGTGTACCCGTCCAGCTGCATCATCTCTGTGGGATCTGGCTTCTTCTCCCTGTAGCTACACATGGCAAACGTGTACTGGGACACCTGTAGAAAGCAAGAGGGACTTAAGGCAAATACTGTTACTTAGTATATCCCCCTGTTGTGCACCGACACTCTTAACTACAGAGCATTAGTACTATGTTTGCCTTTCATGCTCAGGAGAAAGAGCAGGACACTTAAAAATGTATTTTTATTACATATGCATCTCCGTGGTACGCTTTTCCCTCATAGCTACAGTGATTGCATGTGTTTGACTTTTCGGAAGATTGGGGAGAAGAGTTTTTTTGTAGATATTTCATTGCATCAGTTTCAACTAAGATTGTTGCATTAAGTGGTAGCAGCTGAGCATGCTAGCCTCATCAAGAATACCGAGTACTGAATTTTTTCTTTTTACTCACGATCGTTCTATTTTTATGCAGACATTGGATGCTTTATATCACTTTACAGCTATAAAATACTCAGCCTTTGTCAGGAAAAAAACAGGAAAAAAGCCCTCTTTATTCTATTATACAACTGCCCTTAATCATACTGATTGCATGACAATCAGTTCCCATTGATCAGGCCATCACACAACACACCTGTGCTAAACCATCAAATAACATACCTGTACTAAAACAAAATATCTCTTCTTCCATTTTTTCCACACACTTTTCCCCATGGCATAAAGATAACTGGAAATGTAATACAGACTTGTTATTAAGTATCTACAGCAGTGGAAAGTTTGATATCAATCCTATACTTTACTTTCAACAAAAAATTATCTTTTTTTTTACTTATGTCGTAAGTGAAAATTTACATCAAATCAAAAGTTTGACTAAAAATGACTAAAGTACAAATGTCTTGAAAATGACTAAAACATGGGTATTCTGAAAAAGACTAAAATATGGTTATCTTGAAAATGGCTAAAATATGGGCATTATAAAAAACAAACAAATATAGGTAACCTAACCTCAGTCTGTAACTCACCCACAATGTTTCATATTCTGCGGCTTGTCCATCCTGACAGCTATCTTGATCTTCAGCTCATCTGGGAAATTCTTCGGGGTGTGCATCTTGTGCCACTCGGGTACCTTGGGGCTACTGGCCGTGGGCCTGATGATCACCTGAAACAGTGGGGAGAACTTGGTCTGTGAGGTTGTATTAATGTGGAAATATTTTCTAAGAGGGCATTCAGAATACCAAACTAACAGCAGACTAACTATTAAAAAGCTTGTTGCTTAATTCTTGATTAAACGGTGAATAGATTCCCTTTGGGATTATGCAGCAAGTATTCAAGTGGGTCGGCCATGTTTGATCTGCAGACTAGTTAGTCCTCTGTTCTGAATGCGCTCCAAGACCAATTGTGCTTACATAAATAATTTTATTGTAATCCAACAGGACTGACTGCTTCACTATGCTATAAGAAGTATAATTCACATAAGTTAAAGAAAGCCTTTTATATGCTGTCCTGCTGGAAGAAATGAACTTACAATCAAAATATTCAGTCAAAATACAAATCTATTTCAGTCAACTGAACAACATCAATAGAGACAGTGTGAGAGAAGTCTGGTACACCGCATAACCTACGCAATTTGGATGCCTTCAATGCATACTTGATTCGAATACTGGTTAAGAGAAACATTTAGCATCTTAAGCTTAGGTTGGGCAAATGTTATGTCCCTGATGCTATAGATTTACCCATCTAGCAAAATGATTTCCTTGGTTGAGAAAGCTGGTATTGCTGCAAGGGAGCTTTAAGTAGAAATTTGGGCTGCTAACAGGGAAAGCCATTACCATTACAAAAGCCATTACCAGCTCATCCTCTAAATCTTTATTTCAAATTGAAATACTAAGTGAAGAAAACAAAAACTTTCAAGGGGATGTCATGACAAAACCAAGGATATTAAGCTTAGCAGTTAAAATTGCTATGCTTTAAATACATCCAATTGTCAATGAAATAAAATTCCTGGGCTTTTAATGGAAAGAAGAAAAACATCAGTAAAGCGATAATCAAATTATCAAATGATAATCAAATTGTCAAATGCTTTGCTACCAGGTACTTGTCAATCTGGTGAACATTGGTTTTTCATGAGTTTCGAGATGAACAGCGGAGGGCTGAATGCACAAAGGAATTTAACCCAATAATTCCCTTTTAGCCTGAAGACTCTAACAATCCTAGGCTACTTCAAACTGCAATCAGAGAGAATAATTTTGTCATCAGACAACAAAATTGGTAACCTTGGGGTTTTTTTTTAAGCTTTAGAGACACAAAGGGATGCCTCTATAAAGAGGTTCTGTGTACAGGGATACTTCTAAAATTCATTTGAAAAAAATGTCTAATAACTTCTGAAAAGCAAATAAGTTTGTCAGATTTGGCGCTTAATATTCAATTACCTCAATCTGTTTACTATAAAACCAGAATAAGTCTTAAATTCTGGGGTCAATTTCCCCAAAAGAAATAGTGATCAAACAAGGGTGTCATTTTCAGACAACAAACACAAATAATACACACAATTAAAAGTGATCATTTCCAGCAATTTGACCAAATTTGATTTTTACTTTGAAATCCTATATTCAAATGTGAACTAGAGGAGGAATGAGGGTGATAGCTGGGGGTGGAGGGAACACATACCTTCCCTAGTTCCCTGTCTTCCAGACTCAGTAATGCCAACTTCTCTGTGAATAGTTTCACTTTGACCACAGGCAGCGGGTGAGTTGTGGTGAAGTCTCCTTGGGTGTCCCAGCTGATGAAAAATTAATAAAAATATTAAAAATCACTAGATTATTGTCATCAAAAGAATTAACATGACAATATATGCAAGGGATTGCTTTTTAAACTCTATATACTTAACTATAATACTTACATTCAATGACTTTCACTTAATTTGCAGCCTGACTTAATTGATCAATATACTAACTATTTGACAATACGTAAAATCTTACACCTTAACTATACTCTCATTCTTCAGCCATTTGTACAGTTTTCTACATTTACTAACATCTCTGACCTGTTTCAAAAAAGAACACATAACTATAAGACCAACATTTATCCTTCTGAAACCTGGGAAAATCAGGCCCGAGCCCTAGTTTCACAAAAAAAAAAAAAAAAAAACTTCAGTCAGTTTCATGGCTTAGTAGACTAGGATGTCCATGAGAGTGATGAGAGTGCTGTAACACTGATTCTGATAGGGTAAGTTGTGTGCATGTGACCGTGTAACATTGGTAACAAAGATGGCAGCCACTGGAACCGACTTAAGTTTTGTTGTAAATCTGGGGCCAGATCTCGTCCCACTTACACAGGTTTGGATGCTTCTGCCTGGTCTGTCTGTAGCTTCTCTCCACCCTCCACTTCCATGG